ATATGAGTCCGTAATAATTAGATTTCATTAATTCTTCATTTGTTTGGTCTGTACTATCAAACTGTTCACAGCCTGTTCTCTCATACTTTAACTTACTAAGTGTAATCCGTTAATTGATCTTTTTTTCACTTTTTCTAGTTCTCAATATGTTTTGTTTTACTTTACTACCCAGAACTCATATTCTTACCACCAGAAAATTTGTCTACTTATCCTATAAACAAATTCATAAGTGAAATATATGAATTTCTTTTAGATAAATTTCTTTTAATTAATAATCATTTCTGTATCATTGGCTAACTCATTCGTTATTTATTTGGAAATGGTATGAAACGTTATTCAGCCCGGTTTCTTTCCAGATCATTCAAATATGATAATCACTTAGATATTATCGAAAGAAAGACATAAAAGAATCATGCTACCATAGTAAAAATAAAACAAAGTAACCACTTTTTATATACTGGCGAACAATAATAGGAATAATTTAATTCATATTCATTGATTTACATTGAAGAAATGGGTCTTTCAATTCAAACCGACTATATAGACAACGCCTAGTTATTTACAAATTATAATACATAATTATAATGCTGGTATTTCTTATAAACTGCTCTACGTATTTAAAAATCAAGAAAAAAAATCATCTGTCACTGGCTTTATTTAAGAAATATCATACAAAGGGTGAAAAATTGTCCGTCTTACTTTTAAAGTTACTTTTTCCGTAAACACTAGGCTTCAATGAAATTTGAACAAGTTATCTATATTGACCAGTTTTCATTCTAGGTTGTCACCGGTTCAACATTGTGCGTGCTTTTTCCGTATGTAGCACAATAGATTAACTGAAGTTTTCATCATTAAAGATAAAACCATATGTAGTAAGTGTCTTAAAAATAATTTGGTTACTGCATGTGACAATTGTCATGGCATTTGTTTCACATAAGCCACTTTTAAAACATTGCATATCATCACAGTGTATAAGTTGTGACAGAATAACTCTCCAGCGGTAATTTTGATCGACTGTATACTGACTTATGTCCTATCGTTCGTTTATTTAATAATGAAAAATTTCTAACTACTGTATTTGCTTCTTTTAACCTCACGGGTGTGCTTTATGAAAATTGTAATAATATATTGAGAAGTTTGTACAAAACCATATCAGGTACTGCGATAGTGTACACCTCATTCAGTATGGTTTTAAATGTTAAAAGTAGTGTTGAAAGTGATTGGTTCATTCCACAATTCTTGTTTAAAATCGCAATAAACGATATTCTAGAAGCATAAAGCATATCGTGGCGGTGTATACTTTCTGTCAAAAAGAATACATATTTATTTCAAGAGCGAAGCGTTGAACGTCTTGTTTTTTTCATGAAATCTAGATTGCTTATATTATTCTTTATAAGTTGAGTATCACCATTCGTGTATGTCATACGTAAGCTGCACCTACTATATATTAAAAACTCTATGAAAGTTCTGAGAAATCTGTAGACCGATTCCTCATTATGGATAAGTTTTTAGATGTCGAAAGTTCAACATATTTGAAGTGTATGGTTAGTACTTCTGAACACAGTGTTTTGATGATAAATGATCAAGTGGTTTATATAGCTTTGATCTACTTTGGTACTGTTGTAAATCACGGATCCATTTAATTAATTGAGGATTACATAAAAAACTGAATGTGAAGTACTGAATAAAAGAGATGTTGATACGAAGTTTATCAAAATAAATTCTTGGAAATGTTTACGCTGAAAAGTCGTTTTCTCATTTAATCCACATTAAATTGAATGAACAATAATATATATATATATATATATATATATATATATATATATATATATATATATATATATATCACTTTTCATTCTTCTGCTTTCACTGGATTATTTTCGTTAACCAGAGACACTTCTTGGCATATACATAATAATCCTTAATAACTACACTGTTCAATTGCTTAATTAATCTAAATTAATCAAGTTCAAACATAATTTTAACAAGAAATACTTGACTTCGATAATGCAATGAGAAGACAAAGGTTATCAGGATTATCCTATACTTATTTCATTTTTTTTGCATTGTTTGCTTAAATCAAACAATACAAGTTTCAAGTCCAACAGTGAACATCAACTCTATAATACATGTATATCCAGCTGACCAGTCTCAAATAGGCGGAATTGTGCGTTCTGAATTCCACTGCTAGCCACCATCCATCTATGCTTTAAAAATATACTTGGAGTTTTTAGAGTTCTTATGTGAAAATAATTTAAATATTGATTAATAACTATAAGACGGGATAAACGTAATCATATAATTCATTCGTCTAAACAAATTTAGTATCTTAAGTTAATTTAAGCATATAAATGGGGTTTATTGTATATTATTTTTATTAATAATACCATCAAAAGTATTTGCCTATCTTGCTATTAAATGACTAGAGAACTTTGTATACAAATTATTTTATTTTATAAGAAATCATCAGTGAAAATTTCACTCCACTTTTGATGTAAACTTTTCACTTTATCTTTTATCAAAAATGTTCTGAAAAGGAATAACATCAGGTTTTTTACTAAATGATTGGACGTGACCTAAATTAGTGAAAATATTTTTGTCTCTTTTGTTGTTGTTGTAACACTGAGGACTATTTTTGTTCTAACAGGAAACAGATTTTAACTAGTGTTATAGAAAAAAATTTAGTTATTAAACATGCCGAATACACACCTTGAAAATTAGATTAACTCATTGACATTTCCTTCATTTTTTTAAAAAAATTAGTTTTATTTTTTTCAACATGAATGCATATTTTACAAACATTTCTTCCCAGTTTTGTGTTATCTAGGTAAATGGTAAGTTTCGCAAACGACATAGAAATGTAAATGTGTATATATATAAGTAATTTTATCTAACTCCTTGATTTCATTTCAGATGGAGTTATCTGTAAGCATAACTAGACAAGGTTTTAATTGTACGTGTAATATTTATCTATTCATTTGAAGTGAAATACTGTTTACATAAGTTGAGATTTTAGAGAAATATTTTCTATTTTCTAAAATGTAAAACTGAACATAGACTTAGATCGGATAATTGAAATGATTAAAAGCCTAACAGCTCTGAGTCACACTACCGTAAGGAAAGAACAGCTTCTGTTGGAAATACAGTTTCATTTATTATGGTTATAGATTATACAGACTGAACGATAACTTAGTGTGGTTTTTTTCATAGGAGAAATGTCAATATCACATTATGACAATGTGTCAGGAAGCTTTAAGCATTCATACAATTATTTCCAGTGGGCAATTTCAAAATACTCCTACATATATTCGACACGATAATTGACCATCATTTTTCCTAACCTGCAGAAAATTTACTTAATTTTCTTTATAAGCTTGAAATTTTCCTCATACTTCATTTATCATAACATAATTGATCAGTTCGGTAAAAGCTAAACTAAAACCGAAATTCAAATTTAATTCTTCCAAAACGAGATACATTTTTGAAAGTATCAGAAACTAAGTAATTTGATTGACTTCGTTACATATTTCCGTTATTAAGCCACACTTTATGTTTGGTGATAATGTTCTTTGTTGGATTAACTCATTGAAATGATTATATATATAATTCTTCAATCAAATGCTAAGTTTAGCTATTGGTTTAGAAAATAATTCAAAATACCATCTTGTATGTTGCCATTCTGAACTGTGTAGTTCACTTATTGATGTATTATTAGAAACTTCAGTTTACCACAGAATATGATCTTATAGCAAATGATTCTAACTAAAAATAATAATCACACTACATACAATTTTCTGTGTGGCCGAGAATCAGTAGTAGGCAGGTGGTCATCCGACACGTTAACCTTTGACCAAAAAGCCTGTTTGATATGGATACTAAATGGTCAAAATTTAGCAAAGTTGACATATACATAAACTACATATCGTATTTAGACAAATATGCATTTTTATATTCCTTTAACTCTTTCTTATTATCTCAACTAAGTTTACATAATTCTTGTTTTTAACTGATAAATCTGACAAGCTCTTATAACTAAGAGTTTTGACAATTTACTCAGAAATATAGTTTGAATGTGAATTTTGTCACATTGGTATATATGTTCGACAATATTGACCTTTCTAATACGATTGATTTCATTTCAGTTTCGTTTCCGATATACATAATCGGTGTTTAATTTATACAAAATTAAATATTTAAGAAAAACTCCACAAGTGACAAATCAATTAATACTAATGACCCAATTAGTCATTGATAATCTTCAACAGCTTTGAAAACACAAATGAAAGTGATAATAAAACTGAATTTGAAACTATACGAAAACTTAATGAAAATTTAGAATGCGATAACTTATCACTTAGTACATAGTTTGTTAGAAAAATCAAGTTTCAATAACATTAAAAGCAAAGATGGATAGTGAACAGCGGTGGGATCCAGGACGAGCATTTCATCCTATTTGGCACTCGTCTGCCGAATGTACCTGCATCTCAGAGTTGATTTTCACTCTGAGACTCGCTTCAAACGTCATCTCGTTATCCACTTAGCTACTGAATCCTAATAACCACTTGTTTGTGCAACGTGGTGAATTTTAAATTCACATGGTACTGTTTACTTGAATCTTAACATTGTTGTTCAGTCTCTTATTGGCATATGTGTGTACCGTGTGTATTACCTCAATATTGCTTCAATTTACTAGCGTTATAAACAAAGATGGATCATGGCTAGCAGTGGAATACAGGATGCACAATATCGAAACAATATGCACATATGCCAGTAAGAGACTAATCATTTGCAATCCTAAACATCAATGAGAAGATTCAAGTAAACAGTATCAAATGAATTTCAATAACATTATTCATAGAATGCAATAACACTTGATTCTAGGCATTATTTAACTTTCTCTCATTGAATACTGATTTTTTAAGGCTATATATATGTTAGTTTCTTTTTCAAATTCTACTCATTCTCTTTAATCAATATAATTTTCTTTTCTTGTTTTACAGAGTACTTCTCATGAACAAGTTAATTCACAATTACCAATAAAAACAAAACATTCACATACAAAAAATCATCGAAATATTAAAAATAATGAAAATAATTATCAATGGGTTATTAATCCAATTCATAAGAAATCACAACATGAACTAGATCAAATTCCAATAATCAATAATAATAATATCAGTTATCATGATTATTCTTTAAATCGATTAAATATTGAAAAGCATAAATCTCGATCAAAATCAAAAGTTTTAGAGAAAAGTGAAACATTAGACATGGAAACTAGTAAGGATATATTTACTAGATCAGTTTCTGCGCATCCAATTCTAATGAATACACCACAATTACCACCAAAAATTTATAAAGTTAGTTGTTGAAATATGATTGTTTGTTTATTTTTCAAAATATCAGTTTGTTAATAATTATATGGAGAATTAAAAAGTGATAGTCAATTTTTTTATAGGAAATTAATCAGAAGACGGTATACTACAATCCTGAGATATCTAGTAATGTAAGAAAAAAAAAGAAATTAGTTGATAGGATTCCTTTACTTTTATGTAGTCATTCGGTCATTCATTTAGTTAATTATAGAAAAGCTGCTATCGTGTGCAAATGCCAATCAGTACGGATTGAATGTATGAGAACCTTGCCGTATCATTGTCAGTTAAATGGGCAAGCAGAAAGATTTATTCATATTCTTAAGCAATATCTCTTAAAGATTGGGTGAAGAAGATAACGTAAACAAACTCTCCAGCAGTTGCTGATTTCTTATAGAGTTACACCTAGCCCAAACTGTCAAGACAGAAAATCACCAGCTGAAACAATATTTGGATAACCAATTAGGATGTTTTTTTGATGTTTTGAACCTTAAAGACAGAATGCGTGGAGTAAAAAAATAAGAAAGGAAATTGTCAGAGAATTCGAGAATTTAAAGCAGTTGACTTAGTTTATGCACATGATTTCCGGCTAGAAAAGCCAAAATCGATATTTGGGTGTATACAAAATAGACATGTAAAGGTATCGTATGGAGTGGTGGTTGAAAATACACTAGTTATTAGCATATAAATAAACTGCGAGCTAGGTAAAACGGTAAGTTATCTTAAGCCAAGCTTTTTCCAATTTAAATTTGTGATAAATTTGTTATCATTTTGTGGTGTGGAAATATACTTGATTTGTGTTGATGTCCTGTCGAATAGACACTGGGAGGGTATCTAGTGTAGATATTCGTCTTAGGCAAATTAACGTCCTATACGTGTAGATGAGGAAACCTGGCGTTATAGCAATGTGTGTACAATCTTTGGTCATGCCAAGTTTTTTGGTAACTATCAGTAACAATGCCAGTATGTTTCGAAACGCGTCGACAACTTCACTTACCTTGGAAGTCTGATCAGCCCTAATGGGTTGGTGCCTGACGAAATCTCTGCACGGATTCAGAAAGCTCGTTCGTCTTTTACCAACTTACCTCACCTATGGTGAAGTTGAGAAATCAAATAAGGGACGAGTATACCGCGCGGTAGTTCGTTCTGTTCTACTTTACGGTTGCGAAACGTGACCATTAAGAGTAGAAGAAATTCGTAAGCTACTAGTATTTGACCACAGATGCCCAAGAAATATTGCTGGCATCTGCTAGGATCACAGGGTTGTGATAGTGAGGTTAGACGTAGGGTATTAGGGAATGATGGTAAATCAGTTGATGAGGTTGTGAATCTTCATCGACTGAGATGGTTGGGCCACATGTTACGTATGCCTGAACACCGATTACCACGACGTACAATGCTGTCTAGTGTTGGGGACGGTTGAAAGAAAATTAGGGTCGGCCAAACCAAAACATGGCATCAGTGCTTGAAGTCACTAACTTCTAGTCTGGGCCATGTCGATAGATGCAGACTACTTGGTTGGGGTCCACGTGACTATCGTAACCAGTGTTTGGAGATTCTTGGTGACATGGCTCAGAATCGATCACAATGGCGTCGGCGTATACACTCTCTGTCTTCCCTTAAACTATGAGATTGAAATCGCTTCATATCTTTCTTTCTATGAACTAATTCTTTCTTCCTGTACTATATCCTTATATGCAATCTTTCTTTTATATATTACTACTATTGAAGTGACTACTTCTATGCATTCGGTGTTCATCTTGTTGTGCTAATGCAGTATGGAAACTTGAACTGATGCATATGTGCCTGGCCCTACGTTGTACCTGACTAACTGATGTTTTAAAACCGAATTAATAACCTAAATGCTTTCTTATTAACTCATTTACCAGGTATACATTCATGTGTTTGGCTTCTAACTATTCTCTAAGCGTGAACGGTTATGGTACTACGTGACAGCGAAAAGCGCTGTAGGTAGACTGGGTTTCAATCATGTTACTTAATGGCTGAAATTCCAACGCCTTAAATTATGTAGCGATTGCTTAGTAGTTATTTACAGCAATGAGCCACAGTGAAAGGAATTACACTTAACAGTCATGTAACCATATTTAAATGAACGTTTCATAATGATTATGTAGGATCTCCTTGATTTCCTGACTCTCAATATATTTACTAACATTTTAGAGTGTACGAACAAAGTATTACCAGCCGGATGCTTATCAAACGATTACTAATCAATCGAAATTATCACTTGTCAATTCAAGGGAACATACTTCACCTTTGTACAGTTCAAATAATCCCATAATTTCAAACAAAATATCTTCACAAATGGAAGTCAATCAAATTGATCACATTTCGTCTATCAGTAATTCTCATTCATACGGTAAAGATATAAGTTTAATCAATGATACAAATCGTAATAATTCCGATCAAACTATTTCACATTATTGCGCTCGTCGTAAACATTGTCGCGTAAGAAAACACAAGGCATTGGATGGTAATGATAAACGAAATTTCGACGTAAAATCAATGAAAAGTTCTACATCCGATAAAACACATAGTAATAAACTACGTAACGATACAACTTCTAATACATCATCCGGCTTTAGCAGTCATAATCTTAATTCTATTGGAGTTAATTCAACTGATAACTTAAACTCAGTTTATGACATTTCTATAAATCAAACAATTAATTCACATGAAAATATTAATTTTGAGGACAAACAATCGGGATATTATAATACGGCTAGAAATTTAAATGAAATGAAAAAGTTAAAAGTAAGTTCGAACTCATTTACTTACTTGCACTTTTTGCCACTCGAGGAGTTCATGTTTAATCATTAATAGTATTTCATATATATAATATGTGCTTTTCAAAATTTCAAAGGTTATAAGAAATTTTTCCAGGCTAAAGCAAGCTTTCTTCTACTTCATTTCTCAGAAGTCACTAACCTAAATCTCTAGTTCATATGTTAGGAGACTTCCTGGTGTAATTATAGGATCTTGTCAAATGTTTTTATCGCGGAATGATGTTATTTGAAATGCAAGCAAAAACTAGTGTTTAACCTCTCAAAAGAACACAGTTAGAACTATGTACTGTTGGGCATCATCCCAATGATTCTCCTCCAAACTCGCAAGTACTGGATTCGACCTCTAGAGGAGTTATGCGTAAACACTGCTGAGGAATTCCATACTAAGATGTAAAGGCTCACTAGTGATCTCTGATATTCAGTAGCATGTCAGCTGAGATCGATTTGTGAAGAATACCTTCTACGAAGTAAAATAATTATCGAAAAAACCACTTCTTCTAAATCACATTACGTTATGTTTTGAAGTATCATTGTTTGTAGAGTTTTCTGTAATACTTTATTCATATTGAAAAAATATCAAATTTTTTAAACCGTTAATAAATCGTTATTTTTGAATACTCAATGGAATTTAGATAAATAGTCAGAAATTTCCTACTCTATCAAATCAAATGGATAGTATACCACAAAATATCAATATGTCAGGAACATCATCTAAAATTAAATATCCAATTTCAAATGTAACTATAAAAAAGTCACCTACTGATATTCAATTATCTAATCCATACACCAAAGAGAGATTAAATGAACATCAATCCAGATCACAATATCCTATTCAAATATATTTTGAAAATAACAATACTACAAATAAGAATAGTGTTATTCATCATATTAAACATGACAGAAATGAGAATGTAGATAATTTATTGAATAATGATTATGGATGTGTGGATATATTACCTGGTACAAATAGAAAAGCTTTACGACGATCAAATAGCTCCAGTAATGCTTTAACGTTTCATCCGCAACAGTTTACTGTCAATAGAGTTAACAATGAACATGATGATTATTGTTTTACAGGTACATTACTAACAAAACATTCACAAATTCCACCATTAGCATTTAAACAGGGAACTAATAATAATGAGATTATCACTAAAACCAATCATAATAACATTGTCATTAATAACGATCATAATTTTAGTAATGATGGTGGAGTTGATACAAAAGCATTTTATTCAAAATTAGATATTCATCGATTGAGAAATAATGCTCTATCACCAACCAAACAATATCCATTGAATCAATCAAATTTTCTTGTACATCCAACCATAAATCAACAGTTTATTGATCCATTTCAATCGAAAAAAATGATTAATACTGTAATTAATGAAAATACATTCTGTTTATTAAATGCTGAAGAGGTGAGTTAAATTATTGGTCTGTTCTAGCATAATATTATTACTGAAGGTATGGTATATACTAGTTATGTTGACAGATTTAATTCGTATATAGCACCAGTCGGGAATGGATTACCTGGCAGCAGAAGATTGTGAAGATTGAAATGACGAAAAATGAGAATGCAACAGAGATCAATTGTAATAACAACAGGAATGACGGAACGACGAAGTTTGTAAGAGATAACTGAAGGAAGAAGAAGTGCAAATGAAGTATTAAATGTATGGTTTTCATACTTTACAAAGATAATCTATAGTTTTGCATTGAACAATAAATTTGTCTTTCTCACTTAAATGTCCGTTCACTACAATGTACGACTAAAAATTATTTACAACGGGTGAAATAGATGTTTAAAGTAAGTAAAATTCATCGATCGTATATTAGTAACCAATATCAGTTTTATCAAGTGAATAGTAATGATTGCATTTTGAAGATTAAGTTCTAGTGAAATCTCTGGTTTAAATATCACAACATAAAGTGTACTATTTTATGATGTAAGTTAACTGAAGGCGATTTAGATAAAAAGCTGATCCTAGATTTCATAACAGTTAAGGGTGATCAATCAGTGATCAGTGATTTGTAATATCTCACATACGCAAGATATCAGTCATTCGACATATAACTTAACCTTCCTGATTATTTGACTATCGTTCAAACCACATGGAAGGTATTAGTCTTCTAATGGTTCCTGAAATGTGCTACTTAAAGGTACCAGCTAACACACAACACTGGTTTGAGCTTCATGTCGGTTGACGATAACCACCTGATGCTAAGTATGTTATTATTAATATTCCGTGTAAAAAGAGTTAAACTATTAAATTTATGCTAATACATGTTCTGTTTAAAACTTTGAGTTGAAATGTACTGACCTGATGAAAAAACAATTTCTAATATATGGTTTGTAAGTTTCAGAATCATAGACTACTATATCAGTCTAATTTACGGATGTAATGATATACTTGGGCACTTATCTTCTCCAGTTCTCGAAGTAATCAAATATGTAATTATAATTTTAAATAATGGATAAGATTTTCAGCTTATTTTAGTACTTCTATTGGTATCATGTTCCCTAAGCTAGACAGTTTACATATAATATTAAACATTTAGAAATTTTCATGCACTCTTAAAATTCCATCTATCCAGTATTTTGACATTTACTAAACCATCCGTTTCTAAACATCAAATGAAACCTTCAATTATCAGTGAATTATCATTATGACAAATAGAGACATTGTAGAGAAGTCGATCGAACGATCAACTTAGATTTCATTCCTGTAGACCATTACTATTGTAAAACAATACCGAAAGAATAAATGATGTGATATTAAGCTCATGTTGTAGTAATACCATAAGAATTGGCAATAAATACCATCTTTTTCCCTCCCTAGTATATTATTTACAGAGATGCCGTAATACCAAAAATTATTAACTGACAGCTAACTGTGAAGAAGTATACTTTAGCCAAAATACAACTCCTTAAATACAAATCTAACCAACTTTAAATTATGATAGAAAAATAACTTTTTATGGTTTAAAATCCAAAACTGATCTCAGCAAGACCTAGATCGTAAATCGGATAGCAATAGACTTCCATGAACCCGCACCTAGGAACTCGGGACATTTCAGGAAACCATTTACTTATTGTATGAGAGCTTGTTGGTCGATATTTTATGTATTTGTTTACTCAAAGTGCAACAGGCTTTTCGTCTAGTACATCGTGCTCTCCATGAACCTTTACTACTCAGAATTCTTGAATTAGAACAGAAAGATAATTTTATTCACTTTGACATTCAATGGTTTATTAAAATAATGATTACTGAAATTCCATAGAAATATTCACAAAATTACTTTAATAAATAAATATGTAATGTGATAAAGCATTATTCTTTTTTTCTATCTCCGTAATCAATGAAATGTGAATGAATATGATTGAAAATCGATACCAGTTGTAGTTTCTGTTTTTTTCTCAAGAGAAAATACAACCGAAATGTCTTCAATTTAGATTAATTATTGTCACGAAATCAACAATACACTGATAGAAATATACATCTTTATGCACACCTGATAAATATTACGATGATTTCTAATTTAAGTGTTCCCTTGTCATGGTTATCAGTATAATCAACAACCAAAAAAAGGAATAAAAATAAGAATAAATCAAGTTGAGTTATTGATGTTATAACCTAGTCATGAAGAAAACGATTTTGATAAGTATTTAATCATTCATTTTATGAGCACAGTAGATTTGTCTCCGATTTTAACAAGATAGTTTAACCTATTCGAATTAGATTCAGTTTACTAGGTAATAACGAATTGCAGTGTCTGAAGTCAGGTGACTAGAGAAGATAATTGAAATAAATCTGCAAACAATGAAAACACATGAACAATAACTGAATAAAATTCAGCGTGGGCTTATGGAAACGGTTAAATTTGATTGAAATTATGAACTGATCTAATTTTGACCACCTTTGAAAACCTTACAAGCACTGGATTCGATTCACGCGTTCGAGATCGTGGGTGCGTACTGCTAAAGTTTCCTATATTAGGAAGAAACGGCCGACCAGTTCTTCCAGGTTTTCAATGGTAGCCTAAATCAGATCATCTCATTATTTCAAACAAATTAAAATTCACGCTAATTGAAGAAGCCGTTAGTCTGTTGTAGAGAAATTTCTAATGCTCATTTCATCTTAAAGTACATGCTGATGATATTGATCAGAAATATGATGAAAGCTTTACAATTTAACTATTTGGGTCAGAGAAGGCAAAATCTCCAAGCTACTCGATCCGAATCACAGATCGTTAGCATCATCTTGAATTTAATAATGGTCTGATAAAAACAATTGATTTGTAAACATGCCTGAGTGACTTAATTATCCAAACTGATAAATTACACACGGAATTAACCCCTAAATCCGTAATGAATATATTCCAGAATGCTAAGTCATTCGCTAACTGTATTATTATATTATCTAACTGAATTTGATATTTATACGCTAAATAATAAGTCAAGATATTATTGTAGTGCACGAAGAACTCAGGTGGAAAAGATAAATTTATCATTTATTGCGAAATTACAGTGTCTTCGTAAAATGTGAAAACCACCCATTAAACACGTCATTTGCACATCTCCCATTAGTTGTCTCTTACAAACTTCATTGTTACTTCATTCCTTTTGTTATTTTGAATACTTATTTTTCTATCTATCTTCTGTTCATTTCAATCTTCTACCCGCATGCATTCCACTTCCAGTTGGTACTAAATATTTCTAATATCTATCAACATAAGCAGCATACACCACACTACGATTACCAGTTATTTATTAGTTGATGACCAATTATCTGAGTGTATAAATGGCAACTATAACACAATAATAAAGATCGCGCTTGCATCCATGATATTCAAAGAGCACTAAATTAGTGAAGTAATACCGACTCAGTAAAGATTAAAGTGCTATTTTTATTCAATGTACCTTAAAGATTAGAATGAAATTTTGAGGTGAGATGAAGCCAACAATACACCCAGATTATTATACCAGAATTCTGTAAAAATCAACGATTTCATAAAATAACATAGTTATTTCATGGTTTCATCAATGAATCCTTATGATGTACGAGATATCAAGTCATGACTTCATCTAACAATTAAGTTAATTTCATATATCTTTAATAATAAAACGGTTAATATCAAAATTTTACTAGTATTAATTATAGAGAAAAGAAAGTTCTCTGTTTATATGACAGACTTATAAACCATCTGAAAGATACTTTTCTTCACTGAAACATTTTCGTTTAGTCACTCAAGTGATTTCTTTCGTTGATTTATGAAGAAGCTTCTAATGATATTAGGAAATTAAATGCTGTTTTTTAATATGATCTTGTAATTTTAATAATGTAACACTTCTATGGTGGTTTGACTGTTCCATTAAAATAGCACAAAACAAAATATCATAAGCAGAGATGGACGGTGGCTAGCAGTAGGAAGTAGAAAACATGTTTCATCTCATTTGAGACTCGTCTGCTGGGTGTACCTATATCCCTAACACGACCCTAATTCTGGGACTTGAACCCAGTACCATTCGCTTCAAATAACATCGCGTTATCCATTTAGCTACTGAGTTCAGATAACCACTAATTAGTGCAATGGGGTGAAATTTTAATTCGTTTTATGCTGGTTATTTGAACCTTCCCATTGATGTTTAGGACTGCAGTTGATCAATCTCTCATTGGTGTATGTGCGTCCTGTGCATGTACATCCAGCTAATTAGTCTCAAATAGGACAGAACGCGCGTCCAAGAATTCACTGCTAGCCATCATCAATCTCTGCTTATAATACTTATAAGTTCAACCATTATCGAGGCAATTCGCACAAAACGTACATAAACCATTAAGAGACTGATCAATTGAACTCCTAAACATCAATGGGAAGATAACAATAACCAATACAAAAAATAAATTATTTTATTTTTCTTAAGAAATATGAAATAAGATTAACACATCAGCCAGTTAATTATGAATTGTACTTGTTATTCGCAAGAAAAAATTGGTAAAAAGATTTTGAAATACACCGTTGGATGCCAGCTCAGTGGTCTAAAGGTTAACCGTTCGCGCACGAAATCGATAGATCCTAGGTTCCAATCCCACATGGCGGGATCTTGGAAACACACTGCTGAGGAGTCCCACAGCAGAACAAAACGGCCGTTCAGTGCTTCCATGTTTTCCATGGTGGTCTAGCTTCAATTGACTCATCAAAGCAACTATTAAATTACTATAATATCCACAAAAACCCTTTTCTGATAATAATTAATGGTTAATTATTTTCGTGAGGTTTCTCAAAACCCTTCATTGTTTATATTTAATCGGTTTATGCTTAATAGTTCTTTTATTGCTTAAAAGATTATTTGGAGAAAACATGAACAAGTAGTAAATTATTTTATGTATACATAAATTTGTAGTAGTATGATATATTCTGCATTAAGTTAAATCACTTAAATTTATACCAAACATTTATAAAAACGAATCTTATAATCTAAAGATGAACTGATTAGGAATTAAGATAACAACCCATTAGAAACAAATAACTGTAGATTGAGGTATATTTCATAATTATGACGATTGAAAGATATGTGTTCCTAATGAATTTCAGCGCGGTAGTTTATTCATACTTTGCAATTAATTCAGGATATAAAGAGTTTCAATTTTCAGTATCAGGTTGGATTGTAAATATACATTATTGTAGAATCCCAGGCTAAGGAAAAAAATTAACTTTGTAATTTACAATTTTCAACTATTCTACTGGTGAGTTTGTTTTGTTTGCAAGAAACGTTTTTTTAGAAATAACACATTAGTTTAACATATTACATTTTAGAAATCAACAATACCAGTAATAATAATTAATGAAAGTTATTCATTAGTGTAGTATTAGCATTAAGAATAGTACATATTTCAGCTGATAAATTCTTCTAAATTGACATATTAATAATAATCAGTCTATGCCTACTGTAAAATCGAATTGCAATTTTGATGAGAGAACTAGGCTGTGTTAAATTTATCCATTAAGGCTTCCGAAAATGTATTAAAATTTTGAAAACAATATTTATATTTTGTCATTTCTATTCAATTTCAACTAGTTGTGATAAAAGAGTATGATAACGTGGACCGATATACTTATGTTGTAGGTTTCACATTGTGGTTGATTAACTGATTGATTGATGAATAACACCTAATGGTATTTATGTGTGATGCTATTAGCTGTTCCCACACCAGACAGTATTCTCTAATTTTTAATCAAAGTATGAAATATCACATGTAGGTGGGTTAATGTTTTGTAGGTACATTGAGAGAAATATGTTGTTTTACAATGTTTGAAAGTTTTGCAAGATTTCTTACTATCAAAACAAAATTTTATTATTCAATTGAGTCAATTCAAAATTATATAAATTTAGGTTTTCGAGCCATTAAATTACCATTTATAATTTTATGATATTTTATTTATTTTCATGGTTACAACTGTTTACTACTACCTGGGTTTTTATAGTCTAAGCTATCAAAATGTCGATAATGAATTACATAAATATAAAATGTTTTAATATGACGAATCAACGGATCGTCACCGACAATTGTTTGAGTTCACTGTTCTTAATTTTCGAATTCATCGGTTTTAGTAAGCTAAGATTAGACGATCTAGTTTATTATCTTAAGATATCTTAATATGTTATAATAGAGTAATACATGAACAAAAGCATTCCAAGTATATTATTTATAATAGCTGATTACTTAGACATATGATAGTATTATCATTTCTATAAAATTGATCTATACAAATTAAAATAATTTATTTATCTTCTTATTTCTTATCTAACTATATAGTTTCGTAATGAACTTGCAAAAATTGTAACACCAGGTGATCCAAGAGCTGATTTACATGAAATATGTCGAATCGGCAAAGGCAGTACTGGTGTTGTTTATTTAATGCGTCATTCACCTACTAAACAGTATGTTGCTGTCAAAAAAATGAATATATTTAAACAACAAAGGCGTGAATTACTTTTTAATGAAGTAAATGTTTATAAACCCTTAGTGTTATATTAATTGTTATTATTACATTTTATTAATAATTCATTTCTGATTGAAAATTATTATGTTTATTTACATTGTTAAAATAACAGTCTTATGTTTACAGCTTTACTACTTCTGATAGTGAGTAGTTAAGTAATATTTGTGTTAAACGTTTTTTTTTTCGCATACTAGACTTAACGGAATTCTAGTGGATTTTTCTAGTGACACTTTTACTAACCGAATAGAATAGTTTCGTTTGAAGGTGAGTGAATAATTTGGAAGGGATAAGAGCACAATCAATTCACTGAAAAATTAATTTCAAGAGTATTAAGTAATTGTCATTAAACAGCAACCATGTTTTGATAACAAAGTAGTGTTGTGTTGTGGGTTACTTATATCCACATAGGTAGTATATAACGGTGGTCAGGCATAGGATGTATTTCAGCAGAAGATCGATGAGAAAAGAACGGAAACGGAACGCTGTTGGTATGAAAATGCATGAACAATGAAATCGGAGACAGTTAACTGATATTTGCGAAAGGAGAGTCAAGTTTGAGACGTTGGATTGATATTTTGCAAATTAATTATTCACTATATGGTTCTTAGATTTTAGTGAGATGCTGTATAATTTTGTGTCCAATACATTCGATTGTACTCGCTTGTGTTCTTGTTTACTACATTTGGTGTTGCTACCAACCAGGAGGCGAAAGGTTCTGTTTTGTGGACGCCGTCGCAGGCCTGACTTGGAAATGTCGAATGATTGAGCATTGAGTAGATTGCTATAAATATCTAAGTTTGGATTAATTTTGATTTGGTTATGTGTTCTCTGAAGACGTGGCTTACACTCGGTGACAAAACGTCAGGTCTTATTTTTCTACTCTTTGGGATATTATAAATATATTAACTTATTTGCAAACCGTATCTTGTTTCATTTCAAGAATCCTTGGAGTGCACAGAAAAGTAAAATATACAGGAGTCAAAATGAAGTATCATGTAGACAGTTGTAACTTCGCTACACATTTCTTTTATTATCACAAATTTCTTTAAAATAAACTCGCTGGAATTATCCTTTGTGAAAGCATTAGATGGGTTCATAGTCAATACTAAACCACTCCGATCTTGTATGTTCAGGAAATAAAGTCTTAACTTTGAAAACAAAAATGGATACTTGCTAGGTTCAGACGTAAGTGTCTATATCAATACACTACTTACTTTTTAAAGTAACATCATGTAATATCGTGATCAATAAAGTTCGAGATATCATGCTAAATCCATGCCAGTCTGTTACTTTGATTCTGATAGTTATTGATCTATTTTGGATTCCTGGTATTCTGTTAACAATCCATATTGCAATTAATTGTCTCTCTTTTATCATAATATAATACTCAATAAATAAAATAAATTTTACTTAAAATTGTTTTTATGTGACTACACAATGAGTTTCTATTTTGAGTTACTGAGAAACGTATTCTTGTTATAAATTAAATATTCCGAATTTGAAAAAAGTTGATTTAACTTATTGTGTAATAGTTAAATTAAAGTCGATCATTTTTTGTCATTACGATATTTAAGAATACCTTTCAACATACCAATATCTATGAGATTGTTTAATTTTTATAATGACCTATTTTAATTGTGTACAAATCAAACAATACACATTGAAAATACACCAAGCTTTAAGCTACATAGCTTTCATAATTGGTGTCATTGTCTCAAAGATTTTGTTCATCTTAGTAATATTATATCGGGTGTTACTTACTAGCAGTGTGTTACATAATGGATCAATAATAAAAATATTATTATGTAAAGCAATAGTAAAACAACACCTGACAGACTAAGATGAATTAACTTATTTCATGGTTTCTTTTTAGCCATATATCCATGGTAATAATTATTTACAATTAATATAGACACTTTATATTATATTCATCGAAATTAACAGGATAAACGGTATCGAGTATGGACTATTGAATTAAATTATAAAATAAATGAATATCTATATTAATAAAGGTGGAAATAATAGAACACACATTTTGAAATACTTAATGACTTGTTTCTAGTAGATAAAAATTATTGTCAAAGGATCATATTAACAGTCATGTCTGTTATCTAAACAACTTAATAGCTGGGTAGTAATGTCTGTCTTTATTTATTTATTTAAACACATAAGCATTGGTACAAGAAGGCATCAAACAGATATTCGTCACATAAATCGAATGATTTATGTAAGGGTTGGGATACTGCCCTGGTGCCCAAACCGAAGCCACACCTTGAGCCTTTGACCTAAAGGTCCAATCGACAAGGAAGTGGAGTAACGTAAGGAGCCCGTGTACACCGTTGGTTTGGAATTAGGGTTTCCCATCTCCGTTATGTGGATCCTTCGTACCTATCAACCCGGTTAAAGCGCTGGACATTCGTCTTTCGTCATCTCAATTCCGTAAACAACATCCTCGCCACGAGGAGGCAGTGAAAGGGACTTCTCTGGCAATGGTCTCTCCTCACTCTCGGCCGTACCAGAGCATTTAAGGGCTAATGTCTCTCCTACTGTACTATTAGATCACAGTGGCCTTAGTTGAGCAGAAACCACCATATTCCATCAAGATCCCAGATACACCTTACTGACCGATTCTTATCAGCACTATGTTCAAAAGTTCATGATAATCCCCATGTAAATACCTAATATTATGACATAATGGATTCAATATCTAACAATATAGACAGATCATTCTATCATGAAGTGATCATGAGGATTCAATCTATCATAATATAAAATAGGCAATCTATATAGATATACTTAAGTTTATTGGACTAATTCTAGACAGTTTCTGATCAGAAAAAAAACCGATTAGATTTGAAGTTATTTTATTCTAACTTTTGTATTTTAATACTTTTAATTACTTTAATTGATTCGATTTAATTGTAATTAATCTTGGGAATAATAAAATACTTGAACTATTTATATGAATTATTTCAACGATAGTTTTTTATTATTATTCGAATATTAATTGTTGGGGACGTTAGATCCCCAGAACTCACTTGGGAAAGGACCTAATTTTGTAATTTTATTTAGAAAATTTGAATTTCTTTGTTTTTGTGCCAAAGGCGCTCTTGTCACCTTCATGTCATATTTCCCACTGGGAAATATTTTAAATGCTATTGGGCCGTTGCGTCTTTTAGTATGCTATTTGGTAGCTCTTCCCAAAGACGGTTTTGCACTGTATGTATACGTTTTGAATTGTGTTTGTTGTTATCGCTCGTTTCTGGCTCTTTTGCAGAATATACTTCTACCTCTGGTTAGCGGGGCTGGGACGCACCAACAGCTAGCTTACTGGTCTTTGGTCACCGAGTCTTGTTCTCGTTTGCACATTAAGTGAACTCGCGATAGCTTCAAACCTAGCATTAATTTAAAACATTTCTTTGATAATAAAATTTATTTTTAACTAGGCAAATGATAAAACCTCACACATATACACATACAGTTTCAGTTTCAGTTTCAGTTTGGGAAGGACAGGAGGCTCGATGGCCTATGTTAGTCCTGGCAATGGTGGTCTCTCAGTTGATCCAACTTTCTTTTGAAAGAGTCGACGGATGGAGCCTCAACCACGTGCTGAGGTAGTGAATTCCACTCGTTGATGATTCGATGGGAAAGTCGATAGTCAGCTGACAAGTAATTTGTTCTCGGCTTATGAACTTTTTTGGAGTGTCCTCGTAAATTCTCTGTTTTGGAAGACAAGAAAAATGAGGGCATGTTAGGTGCAAATTTATCACTAAGCAATTTGTAGACTGTAATCAAGTCGCCTCTAGTTCTGCGATATGACAACGGGAAAAGGTTCAGCTTGGCCAGTCGAGATTCATACGGAAGCTTCGCTATTCCGGGAACCAGCTTAGTCGCCGTTCTCTGAACCTTTTCCAGAAGCTCACTGTCTTTTTTAAAGCAGGGGCTAGCCGCTTGTATGCAGTACTCAAGTTTAGGACGAACGAACACTGTATACAAAGTCAAAAACGTCTTAGTGTCGACATGACTAAAAGCCCTACGTATTGACCATAACGTTCTAAAACCTTTGGCGGCTATTGCACGGCAGTGTGCAGTAGTCTTTAAGTCTTGACTAACGATAACTCCTAAGTCATTATATGTCTGGACGACAGGTAGCTCAGTGTTATTCATCGTGTATGTATCTGTGCCTTGATGACCGATATGCATCACAACACACTTGGAAGTATTTATCGGCAACTGCCATGTTTGAGACCATTCAGATAACTTCTTCAGGTCATTTTGAAGTTCTAAGCTATCACTCTTACATCGTATCGTTCTCCATATCTTGACATCGTCAGCATATAGCAAGACCGATGATGATAGGAGACAAGGAAGGTCATTTACATACAAGAGGAATAGCACTGGCCCCAAAACTGTACCCTGGGGCACTCCACTAAGCACAGTTTCCCAGCTAGATAACTTTGAGTTCACCCTTACTCTTTGTTGACGCCCAACTAAGAAGTCTTTTATCCACATCAATAAATTGCCTCCAATCCCGATTTTCCTTAACTTATATAACAGCCGGTTGTGCGGAACTTTATCAAAAGCTTTACTGAAATCAATGAAGGCGACGTCTACAGGTAGCTTTTGGTCCTTAAGAGCACACCAGCTTTCACGAGCCACTAATAAGTTAGTGAGACAAGAATAACCTATTCTGAAGCCATGCTGCTTCTCCGAGAGGATCCGGTTTTTATCGAGATACTTAAACAGCTCCTTCCGAATAATCTTTTCTAATATTTTAACAACCACACTAGTTAGGCTAACGGGGCGGTAGTTCTCAGGTTTGTGTTTCGTGCCTGTTTTGAAGACAGGACTTACTATGGCGTTTTTCCAATCTTTCGGTAAACGACCCTGCGTAACGGATAGGTTAAAGCATGTACTTAAAGGGCTTGCAACGAAGTTAGATAATTCCTTCAGTAGCCTAGGATGTAATTCATCGGGCCCCGTGGATTTACCTATGTCAAGCTTATTTAGCAGACCAAAGACATCGAGTTCTTTAATGGTCACGCTATCCAGTGTATGTATGGGGGGATCTGTATACGCTGACGAGAAGGGCGCTTCTATGGTATACACGTTGCTAAAGTAGTTCGAGAACGCTTGAGCCTTACCAAAGTCGTCCTCCACTAATGATGAAGCAGTACTGTCTCCCCATAGAGCAGGAATATTTCCTTTTCTCCTTGTCCTTTGGTTTATATAGGAATACAAGCGTTTAGGACATTCTATGGATTCCTTAACAAGTTTTTCTTCGTACAATTTTCTAGACTTACGGAGGGTCGAGGCACAAGTGTTCCGAGCCTTTCGATACTGAGATTTTGACTCATCAGTCCCCAGTAACCTAAATCTATCCCACATTTTCCTTTTCTTACGGAGAAGGATACGGACCTCCCTACTGAACCATGGTGGTGAGTTTTTCGGCCCCTTTGGTATAGTCCAAGGGATGTGAGGTGTGGTAACTTTTAAGTATGATTTTCGAAATGTGTCCCAGGCCGTTTCAATGGAGGACTCTGGGTCTATTGTCCAATCTATTAACGATGCTGAGTGCATGATGTCTGGTATGTTTGCTTTCCAGACGTTGGGTCTGGACTGGACTGACGCGTCCTCGTGACTGGCAGTTATATGGAAGTCGAAAGTTAAAACTGCGTGGTCACTTTTACCTAAGGGTGGCATATGGTGGAGGTTCGCAACATCATCCTCATAGTGAGTCAGTATAAGATCTAATAAGGATGATTCAGTGTCCGGATCGTACCTTGTCGCTTCTTTCACATGTTGCACTAGAGCACATGTGATAACCCCATCAACTAGTTCCTGCTCGAAAGAATTCTCCGACGATTTAGTTCGCAGATTTTCCCAGTCTACCATAGGTGCATTAAAGTCCCCTAGGATTAGACATCGACCACTTTGGGACCAAGTATTGAGACTGCTTAACAGGATCTCATTTGCCTCACAGCTTGGACTGCGATAGACCAAACCAATCAGCAGCTCTTGTCCCTTGCATTTTAAGCGAAGACTAACTAATTCACACGTCCCACTTTCATGGGATACACTATCGATAATGGTAAATGGGATAGCATTCCTAATGAATAGAGCTACTCCCCCTCCTTTGCGCTTTTGTGTTCTGTCGGCCCTTACTAACGTAAAGCCCTCGAAATCAAGTTCTATACTATCTATAGCCTGTGTCAGCCAGGTTTCTGTTACTGCGATTATATCTGGCTTTATAGAGTCAATCTGTACACCTAGTTCCGATCGCTTATTAAGTAAGCTTCGTGCATTGGTGTAACAGATCCGAAGCCTGTTTAAGTGCCTTCGTGCTTCACCCAGAGTGGCTTCGGCATCATTCTCTGTCGAAGTCTTACAACCCGAAAATTTACAATTTTCAGGTCCTTTTCGCCAGCGTCTAACCTATGTTGTAGTTCTTTCTCGGCTTCTCGTCTTTTAACACGGTCTGCCAACGGTAGGTCCTTTCATATGAATAAACAACTTTTTATAAAATAATATGAGATAAGTTGATTTATGTTAATGAAAAAGAATTGTTTTCAAACTACTTATAATTTATTTAAGTATATATGTATATGCATAAGAGAAAATGAAATTGATAGTAATGAGAAAAAAATGAAATAAAACTTATTGTATATTATTGAAAATTATAAGTAAAGATGGATGCCGAGGATCAGTAGAATAAGAAACACACGTTTCGTCTCATTTGAGACTTGTCAGCTGGATGTACTTGTATCTATAGGTTGATGTTTATTCCGGAACTTGAACCTGTTCGTTTCAAACGCCATCGCGTTATCCACTTAGTCATTAAGTCTAGATAATCACTAGCTATTGTGATGGGGTAAAGTTTAAGTTTATTGTGTAATGTTTGTTTGAATCTTTGAATTGATGTTTATGACTGTAATTGGAGTCATTTTGTAAACATATACCCCAGACTTTGCTTTTAACAGTAACCTAATTCACTTGCTTGTTGAAATACCATTAAAGTGTATCAGTAGATAAACGATTTCTAAGAAGAAGGATGCTTTGATGATCCTAGATCCATGAGATTTTCATCCCATAAGTACATTACGTGCTTCTTTGGACGGCATCAGAGCGACTCCCGTATCTAACTTTGCTGTTCCGCCTAAGTGCAATGAGTTTCGCTGATTCCCAGTACTGCCAAGTTGTACCTTCTCATTTCTGTTGCTATTTGACTAGTTTTCCCGGTCTGCCACATTGTCCAGACGTTTCATTTACCTATAAAAATTGTATCTCTGGTTGCTAGAAGGAGAATCGGTCTCGTGACTTCCGTAGGAAATTGGCTTTTACCATGTGGCGTCATAATTCTTTCTTGAACTCGGAGGACAGAGTTTAAATAGTTAAATTTGTTCAATCGGATAAGTGTTTTTTAGCAAGGTTGTTTTCTACGGGATGGGTTGCCGACCCCATAGCCAACCCTCTTCCTTTATCCGGGGTTGGATTCGGCAGTAGCCCTAGAAGCGCTACATGCGGAGTTAATAGGAGATTGTAGGGAAATAATTATATACATGAATTATTTGAATAAAATATAAAATACGACTATACTGCTAATACATTCATTAAAAACATTTTCTGTTGAAACAACCATTTGCATTTAATTGTTATTGAAATAAATATCCTGAAAAAAAACTGAAAAAAACATTATCCTGACAATGAGAGAAATGATAATGTAGTTTAAACAATGCACTAATTCTAACTACACATAGCGTGGAAGTACTGAACTGTACTGCCTTAGTATGCGCCTCTTCTTTAGTCCAAAAACTCATTATTTTTAATGTTTGACTTGGCAAGTGTTGTCAGTCATCAAATATTTACTAATTGTTCTAATATTGCTGTTCTTGATTTTAATAGAGGTGTATATTCGGTCGATGTATGACATAAATTATATTTTTAAAGATCTTTACAAATATCTGTATACTACTATTTTTATTTTAAAAGGTAATTATTATGCAAAGTTACCCGCATCCAAATATTGTTGAAATGTTTGGGTCCTATTTAATTGGCAATGAATTATGGGTAGCTATGGAATATTTAGAAGGTGGTGCACTAACCAATATTGTTACACGAACATTGTGAGTCATGAATTCGTATTTGGTTTTTTTTGAAACATTTTTTGTCATTTCTTGGATACACCTTCGTTTTCCAGAGTTGACATGAGGAATTATCGAACAAAATGCTATGTGATTCCAGTAACTTAACGACACTGGGTGATATTCGAAATAATCGTTTTATTCATCAATTTTTCAGATGATGCTTAAAAGTTTTCAATACATAGTCTTATCATAATGTTTGAAAACAAACTGATGAAAACCTAGCAGTTTAGGTTGTAGTGTTCAAATAAATCCTAATTACCAGAAGGACTTCATTCATTCTGATGTTGTCTTGAAACCTCATTTAAGTGTATAACATCGGTTGTAAATGTAGTTTACTGTAAGGTGTCCGACTGGGTGAAAAATTGTTGTACAAAAAATTCTCTATTATAGTTTTGGTACAAATATCGAAATGACTTTCTTTAATCGTTTACTAGTTAGTAAGGAATGGTATTTTACTCGGCCTTTAGTAATGACTAAATTGTATTGTTCAAGTTGTGCCCGAGAGTTACAAGACCCATTTTACTTATTGTTATGCGATTAGAGGCAGTTCTAAGGATGCTCTGAACCTAGTCTTGATACTTATTGGCACCTCTCAGTACGGTGATTAAACACCGTCAAGGGTAAAGATCTTCCTCAAAGTATTTATATCTAAATGCTCTAAGGAGTATATCTCTGATTGTGGTTCTGAGTAGCACAATTTCGAATTTTGTGGAATGCATTAGTTTCTTGAAGATTTCATGTATTCTGACTGGAGATGAATACTAGTTTATTCAATAGTTTGGCTGTATCAGATTTCATACAGTTGGTTTCTTTCACAAACTCAAACAAACTGAGAATCACAATATTTGCAAGATACGGTTATGTAAGTGATTTGAAATAATTGAACATATTAGCTTGCATGTCATCAAAAAAAGCAGCGAAATATAACTAATTAATCGTATTCTGCAACTACTGTTGTTCTTCCTTGATTTTCTATTCTGTTAACTTTACTAAAATACATTATGAAAATCTGAAATTGATTTCTGCTTATGGATGAGACATTTAGCTAAATAATTTTGAAGTATATTTTTATGTACTTTCCCTTAAACTTATGACTTAAGAAATCTAGAAATCACTATAGGTTAACTAAATAGGTCATATTATAGTGTGTGCTATTTATATCGACATAAGTAGTATATAACGCTTGTCAGGAATAGAATTTCTGGCAGCAGAAGCTCAAGAAGATCGAAAAGGAAAGAACGGGAACACAAAGCAATTGATATGGAAACACAGAAACATTGAAGTTCGAGAGGATTGACTGATATTTGCAAAAGGGACAGGCAATTTTGAGACAATCGATTGATATTTTGAAAATTAAGTATTCACTGTATGGTTCTGAGATTTTACTAAAGTATTCTGTAATTTGAATGCATTCGATTGAACCTACTTGTGTTCTCCTTCACTACAATCTGATTTAAATCATGAAAGCATAATGGATTAATTTTTAAAATGGAAATGATTTTTTGATGATTAGCATTTGATGTATTGTAGAATGTCAGAGAAACAAATAGCCACCATCTGTCGTGACGTACTTCGAGCGTTGGCGTTTCTGCATGACCATGGTATCATTCATAGAGATATCAAATCCGATTCTATTTTATTGTCAATCAATGGACGTGTAAAGCTGTCAGATTTTGGATTTTGTGCAAGAGTAAGTTATAATATAAAAGTATGTAAATATGTTGTTTTCATATAACTTCTAAATGCACAATTTAGGTGTTTATTTTATAATGTTGGAAAACGTTTCCTTTTTACTCCAATGGATTTCAATATTATCATCCGCTTCTTATCGTGAACAACAAGTCTTTTGACCTTTATGTGACCATATCAAATCTCATTTTTATATTTATGCTGAAATTAACAAGTGTTTTTATTATTTTACATGAGCTATCCAAAAAATTACAACTATTATCAAAATCTTTCAATTATAACTAATTTGAATTGTCCTTACAAATTAATCCTACAAAAGGTCAGTAGCGGCCTGAACAACTCAGTTGTGTCGTCTCTGACTTTGAAGCTGGGTTACGCAGGATCAAATACCCAACGGAGCATGATTTCCCTACAGTTTTCAGGTAAAACTCGCTAGCGATTACCAAATAGCAAGAAACATAGGTCCAGGATATCCAGTCAGTTACGTCCAACCACTACGTAGGTTGGTTTGTGAATGTAGAGTTCGAGTTTTAATAAACGATCAAAAGAATGTATTAATTGACTAACCCGATTTTGTGTAAACACTTTCTGATGGAAACCAAATTGTAACACTATCGTAGAATAAAATCATAAGTATTCATTCATCCAACAGTTAAATCTCGAATAGGTGTAATATATCATGCAAAAAAACAATGTCGTTTTTATTTCACTGCTGTACTGAGAATTTAGAATCGTTGTATTTTATTAAGCAATGAAGCAATTGTAAAATGTTCATAGGTTAAATCATGAATTAATCTTTACTAGCACACCATTGAGAGCCAAAGATAATGGACGGTTATTTCGTCCTAATGTAACCTTCCTTAGCAATCCAATTATGTATGTATTACGGCAAAATTTACTTAGTCCACTTCAACTAATCTTTCGTTGTTATACCAGGTGAATCAAGTAGGGTGAGCAGAATTTTTCTAATATTTATGAATAAACGTTTTGAACCATGTTTTTGTGTAAAACAAAATGTTGCGCCCCAGTTGACTGCTTTTAATTCAATAAAACACATCTTAGAAGCCACCCAACCTTTTACAACCGTAAGAAATACCATATTGTTGTATTTATGCAATGTTTGCAATTTTTCCCATGTTTATGTTTAGCTGATACCGGTAAATAGCTCTGACCGGCTTCTAAGTATCTGTTTATTTTGTATTTATATCAAGATCTCTCCTGATCATCCTCGAAGGCGTAGTCTTGTAGGAACGCCGTATTGGATGTCCCCTGAGGTGATCAGTCGCTTACCTTATAGCACATCTGTTGATGTATGGTCAATGGGTGTCTTACTAATTGAAATGGTTGACGGCGAACCAACATTTTTTAACGAACCACCATTACGAGCAATGAGAAATATTCAAAGAGATGCTATTCCCCATTTAATGTATCCTCACAAGGTATGAATGGTTTATGTTTGGCATTCGGTGCATATTTTGAAACTATTACTGTTTGTTTGTATCTATTTATTACTTACTATTTGATTATTGACCAGTTTACTTAATAACGAAAAAAAAACAAAATAATATTATCCTTCACTTGCTCGGGTCATAAAGCTTTATTTAATTCCAAAATCTTTTTGCAACACATAGAAGCATGAAAAAAAGAACTACTTCTCTACTCAACTGTTTAAATTTAGAACTTCACATTATTGCTTATTCTGGACCGAACACCGTTACAACTATTACGGAATAAGGACATTTTGCGATGGTGATTATCAATCAATATGTTGAAGTACATTGATTCATATTTTAGCATGTCCGCTTACCTGGAATATAAAGTAGTTCATATTGTATTTTAGTAATATGCGATTCCTATACAATCAACATAGTCAACTAACGAATCCATCATAACTAACTAGCTGAAAAGTTGAGAAATACATCCCAACTCTTACCAACGACAAGCACACCATTGACGTAATATCAAATAATATCAAATTATGCTATACTTACATTGAATTTATTAAACTCAACATATCTATAAACGTTCGGTAATTTTTACTAATGAATTAACGAAACAAATTTATGCTCGAATCATTCCTTTCCATTTTGTATCATCTTTGGTCATGCCCATCCATCTTGCATAAATGATTATGCTCCTTTTTATAATTATTCTTTTATTACATATATCTCATAATATATACAAGAGATTGTGAAAAAATAAATGAACACTTGAAAACTAGGTTTTAAAAGCCTTCTTGTTAAATCGTGATAAAATACTTGTATGCATATTGTGACTGCGGGACACATCTGTACTTGGTACTTCATTGTAGTACAACTACTGATACAGATTAAAGTAAGGAAGAAAACAATACTGTGAATATCAATTCATTTATACATTCACTTCATATTTAATCATTGATTTATGTTAACCAATGAATCTGGACAATAGATGTCTTGATTTACTCAGGAAATCATGTATCTATACATTTTACTAAATTAGTAGATGAATTACTTGAACTAACAAATACAATTTAATTACCGAGTTACATTTTTATTTGCTTCCTCTCAGTCACTTTCTACTTATTTGAGTAGTGTTCAAGTTCAGGCAGTTTATAAGATAGTACATTCAAATTTCGTTAATGGAACATTACCTGAAATAATTTCATAAGTGCAGTGATCTAGACTGAATCATTCATCAGTCTATTCTCTCATTATGACAAAAACGACGGAATGAATACAGTTGGTTGTATATGTTATGTGCCTAATGTTTATTCTTTTTGATAACCTCTGTAGATGAAAAAGACTAAAATTAGCATGTATATTTGAACATATTCAACATTATACCATTTATTTCAAGCTTATCAATGTCATTATTCACAAAGCAAGTGGATTGATGCTAACAGGATATTGTGAAAATTCACATTCATTTAGATTAGATTTAATTTGAGAAATGAACATGATTATAATTATGGAACACTGAAATTCGCCCATTACCACTAGATTATCTAAGACCAAACTATTCAACTCATAGCTGCTCGAATATATATAATATATATTCTTATGTAATCGTAATGGAGAATATTCATAATCGTGTTATTTTATCAGCTCGTTAAAGTCTCAAATGTAGAAGATTGACTGCCAACCTGATGCTTTACAACATAAGCATAGACTTGCATGCACACTGGTCTAACGTGGCATAATCAGACAAATTAGTTCTGTTTCAATTTATGCATTACAACGGCACTTCAAATGACAGTTCTTGTGTCATAGAAGTCCCCTACATACAAAAACTATCAACGTATGCTTTAAATATGCGTACAACCAAATAAAAGTAAGTAAGACTTGCGAAGAATATATTCCTCAGAAATTAACAGTTATCTTCAACATAGTCACAACAACGATCACAAAATAATTGTCATCAGACTTGCTGATTAGTTATCTGAAACTCTCATCATTTTGTCCAAAATGTTTTTAATGGATAGTTTTCTATTGGTTTCTTAATGTGTAGACATTTTTAAAAAAATGTTCTCTTCTTTATTTCAGTCATCTAGGAAACTCAATTCATTTCTCGGATTAATGTTAGTTCGTGATCCGTTCAGAAGGGCAACAGCTGCTCAACTTTTACTACATCCATTTCTATTATTAGCCGGTTCCAGTGATTGTCTTCTACCATTATTATATCAGTCGAATATTGTCTCATGAGATTAGAGATAATGTATGTGAACTCAGTTGAAAACATTTGGATACAACGCAATAATTAAATCAATATAGCTCCTTCTCAACCAAATGATGACTTTACATGAATCGATAACAAGGAATAAAATCCTAATTTTCCTTTTCTTTTTTCCATCAATGTAAAATTAACACACACTATACTCATTCTACAATGATGAGCATACACAAAGTAAATAAAATGTAAATTAAAATTTGTTTATTTTTGTAAACCAATTTCTATATTCTTTCAATTATGAGTTCACATATTGTCACTTTCACAATTTCTCCTAAATAAAATATAATTATCAATGTCAAATTATAAAGAATCTGTGTTTGTCTTATTTCTATCTTTTTAAATGTAAATGACACAGTTATCTCAGATGAACAAAAGATTTTGTACAAAATATGCACACTGTAATAGATTACATTGTATTAACAAATAAACTTGACATTTTTATGTGATATTAACAATTAACTATTGTCTAACAATAATTTACTTTCTCTTTTTAAAAGAAACATAATAATAAAAGAAGAATTAAAAACGTGTTCACAATGTTCATCAGTCTTTCATGATATTTAATGGTTTGGTTATTTTGTTTCTTTTATATAGAGTTTATCATTTCTTACACACATATACACACACATCTATTATGTTTATCTCTCCGTTCACGTAATACATAATTGCAACATAGAAAGAATTTTGAATTTATTTTGAAAGAGAATGTTTTTTTCCGTTTCTTCATTGTTTCTATGTGTGTCAATTAGCTGTGGAAATTTGACCGATGAAATAACTTTATCACAATCATTTTATTTTGCTCGTTTTAGTTTACGGTTAAGTGTTCGTATGATTTTTCAAACCGTCTAAAAGAAAGAAAGAATGATTTGCTACATTTTTGTATAAAATTTATATCACCATCATAAATACATACACAATATTTTTTTGTTATTGTACATAGTTACTATGCATAGTTTATTATGTTCAGATTGTTGTCTAAAATCATTTTACTCTTTTATGTGTTGTTTTGTTTATCTCTTTTTTTTCTTTCTCAAATTTTGTTTTTCTTCTGAAATACTTCCTTTTTAATTAGGGCACTTTGAATATGTAAGTTATGATGTGATAAAATGAAAATGAAAAGTCTATTTAATTTACTTTATAAAAACGAATTCAGATTTTCTTATTTTTCAATACCATAAAAGTAGACTTATCATAAAGTTTACTGAAGTGTTAACTGTCATCTCTTAAAATCTAAATAGAAAAGTCTAATGGTGTTGAAAATATACTTGTCCACTCAGCATTCTTATTAAATTTATATTTTGATTTGATTGATAAGATTTACGAAAAGTTATTTATTTTCGAATATTTTCTACAATTTTTCAAAATTGTACAGTCAACTAGTGTCCTCCAGTTAACTATTAACTTCATATACTTTGGCTTGAAATAGAACTTTATTGTATTACCAGATTCTTGTTTATTCATGAATTTCACTATGGAAAACGTTTGAAGGTTAGTTAGAAAGCCGAATACATTAATTATTTACTCCTTAACACAGAGCTTCGTGAACGACGATAAAAATGTGTATGTATGGGACGCCCAACATAAAATTAAACAGACTTGACGATATGGAAATTTATTTCATGCGTCCAAACTTTTTGTTTTTATTGTATTTTGATAGAATATCTAATGGCCCGTTGATGTGATTACAGTTTGATCGTATAGTGACGTTGATGAAATCCTCGTATATAATTATCGACCTAATTCACATTGGAGAATAACGGAATAAGTCAAGTACGATAATTAATTTTAGATACATATATTTCATAAACTCGTTGATCTAAAAAAGCAGTCAGAGAATCGGATCAAAGGAGTAGACCAGAGAATGTAAGTGCCCAGCTGGATTTGACAGCACGTGATTCAATGTTTTAAGCCAAACGAAAATAAGCTAAAGATGTATGATGAATAAGGTAATAGATAAACACACACTTGAATAAAAACAATCAATATCAGAATGGGTTTTGTGGAGATTTTAAAAATTCCACAGATTGAATTCATGAGTCAATTGAAGGTAGACCACCATTGAAAACCTGTAAGCACTGGACGGCCGTTTCGTCCTAGTATGGGGCTCCTCAGCAGTGCGCATCGGCGATCCCGCAGCCCGCGATGTTCGAACCCAGGACCTATCAGTCTCGCACCAGGCGCTTAACCAACTAGACCACTGAGCCGGCATCCAATGGTTTTAATGTCTAACTTCAACCAATCCACGAAGTTGCGCCACCGTACACCATTGTCTTCAGTGAGTTCCTATCTCACAACAGACCTGGTTGAACTCCACTGGTAACGGCTTCTTACTAGAACTCCAGTAGTATCTCCTGAAGTCAGTCACTAGTGAGCAGATGATTATTATCAGGATGGGTTTTGTGGAGATTTTAGAAAATTCACTGGTTGAAATCATGAGTTAATTGAAGCTAGACCACCATGGAAACGGCCGTCCAGTACTTCCAGGTGTTCCATGGTGGTTTAGTTTCAACTGACTCATGATTTCAACCAGTGAAAAACAATTAAGTTTATAAGCGAATAAACGACAGATTCAAATTATGACTCATGAAGAATAAATGAATCGTTCTATCCGGTAGCTTCAATAACTCATGAGGGCTTGATATAGAGCTAGACATTACAAGTAATCTTATTCACTCTATTTAATTACAAGTTCTTTTGGAAATTTGAACATCGTCTGAATTTATTATCTAAAAAAAACTCGAATTCGAATAAATTGAATTTTTTGTAAACTGACAATTCAAACTTCACTACTTGTTACACGTGGAACAATGCATTCTGATAAACTGAAAATAACCCAAAGTTACATGTGTACAATTGGAGTCGTCTAAACTACAAAGAGAATATATTTATGTATTCATAATTTGGAGTAATTTAATTTACATGTCGTTTCTTAAAACGCTTTCATTTTAATCATGCTTGGAACATGAGAAAAGAACGAATGAAACAAGATGTAAATGAATAGAATGAATTTCATAACACTAAAAACGAATATCTATTTTCTGTAAACACTCTAATCATATATAAGATTTATGCGATAACATAATATTCAACTTAGACACTGTGAACAAATGAATCGCTGATATTCTCTATATATCAGAACATTTATGAAAGATAAATACGATTAACTTTAGAGAACAAGTATGTGTGGTGTTTGAATGAATTAATGATTCCTTTGTACTTGTTCAATGCTTGATTTTGAATTCCAAATACAGTACATTCGTTCGTGCTTATCTAGTACTTCTTGATCCAATTACGTTATTTCTGGGATTCTTAGTTCGTACTATAATTCAAATACTCCTAATCATCATAGTAAGCTCGGAAAATAAACAATAAAATGTCCCATAGCCAGCTAAATTCCACGTCAGTTGTTAGCAATTCATAAATTTCAGTTTCACTGATGTATTATCATTATAAACAATAAAATAATTTTATAGGATTTTGTTTGTTAGAAAGTGTGTTCTTTGTGAGGCAACATTGTAGAGTATCTGAAAATTATTTAAAAAACTTTACTTCATTATGTCAACACTACAAATCAATCTTTAGATAATTTCCATTTTCACTGAGCGGTAGTTACTTGTTGGATATAATTTACATTTTACATTTTGGTTGCGAAATTCATCCTTGAAAAATATTCAAGAATAAATCTGACTACTTTAAAGAAGAAAGTAAACTCAAAAGCCAGACTGCACAAAATTTGATATGAACTTATCGTGAGACTGTATGATCAAGCGGAAAGAAACAAGAATGATGAGAAGATTGGCAAGTCTTTATGTCTCCAGAGACATAATGCTCAGTATTTATTTCTGAAGCTTTATATACAGAGCTAAATGCGTTTCACCGAGCCACACTATAGAAACCAGACTAATTACATCTGGATACATAAAAATCAGAAGGTCTAAGGAAGACATAAGAAGAACGGAGGAGTTGATATATTTTGAGTTCAAAATATGTTGGTGATCAAGGTAAGACTAAAACTAAAGAAGTATTGAACAACTAGATATGCAACAATACAAGGTTTAATACTGTCCTCCTTGCAAATTGTAATAAGCTGAGCGAGTTCAAGATTTCCCTCACTACCAACCTCCTAACTTCGCAGGACCTACTAAAAAAACAGAAACCAGTATGGTAGACAACTCGAAGAGAACTAAATTATCAACTACTCCAATATATTAAGATATTTTGAATTCCAAATGGTACCAGAATAAAGAATGCATCAGTGGATATTCTGACCTCGATTCAAGAAAGAAAAACATGACAGTCAATAACACTAACAAAAGCAGAGGAACCCTGAGTACAGACCGAATATACTGAAGTAAATAAAAGAGTGAAAAAAAGAATTAGAACTGATTAGTAAAAATATCTGGTAGATACAGCAAAGCTGCTTTCAAGAGATAATTTTGGAGAAGAACTATGTGATAAAAGAAAAAAAGGCTTGTTAGGAAGGTCAAAAAACCAGAGCTATCAGTCGAGAATAAAAATTGAAGACTAATCACCGAATTTTAAGAGCAGCGGAACAAGTGGTTTGGACGTTGTAAAGGGCTCTTAAATAGACCATCTCCCCTGAACCAACGGGACATCGAAGCGACCATAAAAAATATCCTGTTCATTTATGTATGTATGATGTTGATAGAAATTTTATACAAAAATGTCCTATTTATTCTCATTTGTAAAGTGAGCGTTAACTAAAATCATATCATCAGAAATACTAGGTTAACTGCAGTCATATATCGCCATAAATGTGGGTAGTTATATTATTAAGCGTAAAATGTCTCATTACTTTTGTAGTAACTTCATCTGCCTTTACAATAATTAAGAAAGATTCATTGTCTATGTGTTGTAGTTGTAAGTGAAATGAGACATTTTTGTAGAATGTTGTTCTTTTTTTGAGTAGTTATAACCAAAATGGATCACATCATTTTTGTGTGGATCACATTTTTCTCTCTGATCTATTTTCTTAATTAAAATTGACGGTCTTTTAGACAACTCCTGCCAATATATTTCTAAATTTTAGTGACCTTATTCAAACTTTGAGTAAATATCATCTTAAGATATATGAAAAGATCAGGATCGTATAGTTGTTTTAACTTTTATTCTTACATTGAATAATAATTTCAACTAATACGATGAACGCAGTGAAAATTTTAGGCCTAGTTCAATTAGACTTGGAAAGAAAAATTAGAACAGTCAATTCGATCGTCTATTGTTATTTGATTGCTGCTGTTCAGTATTTATAGATTGATTGGTTGATTTTCATTAATTATTCTATTTAAATCACCTCGTTCATTCCTTTTGACATTCAACTTCATGAAACGGATCGATATAAGTCGATCCGTCAATGTTGAAGGTAAAATTTGTCTTTAAGCAGTAAATCAACATGGCCATTTCTAACTATCGCTTATTGTTCTCCTGTTTTTCTCTTATTCAGCCAACAAGCACGTTTCTCAAATGGAATGCAAATCATTGTCTTGAATCCCTGAAACAAATCCCATGGTAACTGCTCACAGATACCATAAATTGTGAAGTCTTTTTCATCAGACAACGAATAAAAAATTTATTGTCAAGACAATGTCTAAAGTCAACCTAATTTTTTGTGATAGAAATACCGTTGGTAAATATAATTGTTTATTTTGATAATCATAGCAGATGTATCAATGTAGGGAAATAGTATATTTGACTTTCTGTGAAAACAGTATTTGAACTGTAAAATATTCCTCACTCAATCATACAAATAATAACAGATATCGTCCCAGAATTGTAATATATCATTTGAGATATGACAACGTAATGACATTATTCTCCATCACTAAAAATATATATAACAATGTAAAAAATTTTGTGTTTTGATGTGCATTACACGTTATGATCTCCCTTGTAATAAACTGTCGTCAAAGAAAATCTGGAAATTATCGAAGATCAAACTAGGATATTGAAAGTGATGTCAAGATAGGAAATGAGATTATTAAAATGATATGGAAGGCAAAAGATAAATACACTCATCACAAAATGAGAGTCCTTGAAACGCTTTTCCAACAGCAAGATAATCATAATGCATTTAAGGAACAAAAATTATTCTAGAGGCTGTCAGAAATAGAAGCTGTTAATGTGGAGGAGTAAAACAAGTAATCGATGAAGTGACATTAGGAAATCATTATCAGAAACTATTTGAAAAGGTAAACTGTGATGTACATTGCAACAATAAAACGAGTGAAAATGACACTCTCCTGACATTGGGAGATCTCGAACGAAGCCTAAAGGGAATAGAAAGTAACAAAGCGGTAAGAAACATATGGCATAGCTGCCGAAATGATATAAAGAGCAGGAAATGTATACTTCTAAATAAAATAAATGAATTCTGGGAAAACTCGTTTGCCATCACACAACACTGGGTCGATCATCATGTATAAATTTTGTATTAAAACAAAGGGAATAGACAGGACCAAAAACCATTGGTCAAATATATGTCGTTATATTATATGGCCAAATAGATAGAAGGCTTCATGGAAAACTACCATTGACACAATTTGAATTTGAAACAAAACATCTCAACAGCCAAGGCAATAACTGCTATCAGACATATAATTCAGTGTG